ATACTGAGTGTTTATTATAATTTTTTTAATTAAGTTAAGTATTTGTTATAAAAAATTATTTATTATTATATTATCGAAGTGCGTATCACATAGCTAACTTAAAACACGGATGAAACCTGGGACCAGTTTCGCAATATTAAGCAAGCGACGCATAATTCGTTTTAAAACAAGTAGCAACACTATCTAAAATAGAAAATAGAAGAAATAAACAAAAAATGCTAAAGCATTAACGTCTGTGGTATGTACTTGGGAATAAATAGACTTAAAAAGGGATTCCAAGCTAGGACGGAACTAATGAAAAATAAAAACAATAATTTAATTACAGAAATCCACAAATTAATTAAATTAATATGGAATAAGGAAGCATTCCCAGAACAATGGAAAGAGTCCACTATTTAATACTGATTTTTAAAAAGGAGGAGAAATTGAACTGCAATAATTACCAGGGCATCTCACTCCTACCCACGTGTTATAAAGTCCTGTCGAATATTTTATTAACAAGGATGGTACCATATGCAGACGAGATAATGGGGGATCACAAGTGCGGTTTTAGGAAAAATAGATCGACTACAGACCAAATCTTTACTATTCGGCAGATTTTGGAGAAAAATGGGAATTGAATTAGCCAGTACACCAATTTTATATTGATTTTCAAAAAGCATATGATTCAATAAAACGAAAAAATATGTTTGAAATTCAAATGCGACAGAGGATACCAAAATACATATAATATATACGTATACATGCTAAAGTAAGTCAAAGTATTATATTATATTAAATATAAAATACGTTTTATACGTTTTATTTAACTCTTGCAGCTTTCGTATTGACCAATATCAGTATACATTTAAATTTCTGTTTCAGTTTTCGAGATGCCTAAAACTAATGCAAAGAAATGTAATATCTATTATTATCTCAACAAAAATGCACCTAATTAGTGACAATTAGTAAAGACATCCAACATCTTACCAACCAAAAGAAAGGCTTGATAATGTACAAACATATCCCCCGATTGACGTGGTATTTTATTTACATGATTTCACTTTTACATGGTTTCTAAATATGCCCCCGGTTCGGATCGAGGAGTCTGAACCAGTTGCCTTCACATCAAAAGTCATCCATGAAGGACATGAATTAGGAAAAAAATTGGGTAATCATTTTGTAGAAAATGACCCGATTGTTGAACGAGCTTTCCTATTTCAGTAAGATATTACTTAACATTTAATTCAATATAAGGAGGTATTATAAAGATTTGATCAAAAACCAAACACAATTGTTAATTATGGATTTCGTTAGCAAGGCTTACCAGTCTAAAATTGTTTCTTATTTATTTAACATCGAATTTGAATCACATCAAATAGTATTGAGTGATGAAAGTGACGTCATACCAACCATAAATAAAAGATTAATAGTCTACGAAAGCGATATAACAGTTATTAAGTTTTTGGTTAAATTTTGTAATTTATACTTCTTTTTTCTATATATAAAATAAATTACAAACATATACCTTTATATTTTTATAATTTTATGAATAGACTGTTAGTTTTGTTTATTTTTAAATATATTTATTTAATTTTATTTTATGTTGAAATAAAATCACTGAATTATATACATTTTAGTTGGTTTTCAATTGACACAGTTTTACGTATAAAAATCTACGATTTCGGTTTACATGATTTTTTAAGGAACCTATCTATATTTAATGTAAATCGGAGGATAGGTGTATTTAAAATTACTTCTTCATATTAAAATAATTTTTTAAATAAAATTAATTATTGCAGTCAATGCCAAAAGAATCAAGGATATAATTTATGTGTTAGTCGATGGAGCTGCTGATTGTTTTGGAAGACACAAAGGAACACATAAATTCGGCTGTTCTTTTAAATAATTCCACAATCATATTAAACCTTTTAATAGCTTTCAAACTTTTAATATTTATTGTATTTTTTTGTTGCAGGAAGTAGATTTGGTAGCATAGGAGTAATACATTTAATAGAACAAGAAGATGACGTCATATGGTTGCAAACTAAAGCAATTACAGACCCATATACTGCGGTCTTACCATTTTCAATGTTTACCAGATATATCCTTCTACGTTTGCAAAATAATAACAATATCAATGGCGTTCTATTGGAAAAAAATACTA